ACACACAGTGGCGTAAAAATCGCCATAGCGATCCAAGCAGCCGCTATGGGGCCCGGGGCACAGGGGGGCCCGGCCAGGACATCCCCTGATGCCGTGCGGGCCGCCTGGGTCGCTATGGCATCTCATGCTGCTGGCTGTCACTGGCGGCTGTGAAGAGAAATGCGCCTCTGTTCAGATCCCCGTCAGTGAACTGTGCAGCGGCGCGTTCCTCTCCACAGCAGCTGCCGAGTCAGGGACCCCGGCAGCAGAGGAGGAGGTGGGGCCCGGGTGGGCAGCGGAGGAGGCAGCGTCCAGCGATGAAGAAGGCGGGGCCCGGCGACAGAGGAAAAGGCGGGGCCCGGCGACAGAGGAAAAGGCGGGGCCCGGCGACAGAGGAAAAGGCGGGGCCAAGGCAAAGAAGGAGAAGGCGGGGCCCGGCGACAGAGGAGAAGGCGGGGCCCACCAGTGACCGTGGAGGTGGCAGTGGATCGGGGCTGACAGGAAGAGGGTGTGACCAGCCCACCTGAGACCCTGCAGAGCCCACCATAGAGAGTCTATTGTGAGCTCTGCAGGGTCACTCTCAGGTGCGCTGTGTGGGATCTCAGGTGGGCTCTGCAAGGGGCATAACTAGAAATCACAGGGCCCCATATAAAATGTTGCTATGGGGCCCTGTGATTTCTACTTACGCCCCTGCGCACACACACCGCTTGTTTAATGGAGGGGAGAGGCGCGGTCGTCCGTTCCAGTCATTCATTTTTTAGGAATCGTTCTCTTCTTGCTATAATATATTTCCACCGGTATAGACAGAACGTACGTTCAATCGTTACATATTACAGGATGTATGCAAATTGGAAGCGGACACACAAGTGTGCCGGAACTCATCCGTCTCATCCAAACTTCCTGCCGATCTGATCACAAATTCGTTAATACCGATTTCTCTGCAGACTTATGTTTGCCGAGTCAGAGCCCCTCTCTGCGGGGGACGGGGGTCAGGATTGCCCTCTGTGAACGCCGGGATCATTCATCAGTCAATGTATACATTGTATATCCTGAGAAATGGATACATTATGGGGTTTTATTTATCTTTTGTCTCCCGTCTTCACTCTCCAAATTTTAAAGTTGAAGTTTAATCCAGCCGCCCCAGTCAGACTGGGAATGAAAACGCTGGATGATGCTGGACGTCCTCCAACCAGGAAATGAGGCGGAGCTCTATCTGACTTGCAGCAGCTTCTAATGCACATTGTGAGACGCTCCCAGTGTACAGTGACATCAGAGGAAGAGGGGAGGAGCCGCTACAACTGTGCAAGACTGAAGGGAAGGTCGGAGGTCAGATGGAAGACTGAAGGTAAGGACGGAGGTCAGATAGAAGACTGAAGGGAAGGACGGAGGTCAGATAGAAGACTGAAGGGAAGGACGGAGGTCAGATAGAAGACTGAAGGGAAGGCTGGAGGTCAGATAGAAGAAGGCAGAGGAGGCCGGAGGTCAGATAGAAGACTGAAGGGGAGGACGGAGGTCAGATAGAAGACTGAAGGGGAGGACGGAGGTCAGATATAAGACTGAAGGGAAGGACGGAGGTCAGATATGTTTACCCTGATATGTCTCAAAGTTTAACCCTCATATCAGCAAGATGTATCAGAGCAGACCTTCTTTCATAGGCTGACAACACTAACTTAGTTTAGCTGCAGCGTTGTCAACCTTCCCTATGAACTCCTACGTTGGACTACAAGCAGCGATGCCAAAGCACAGAGTGCCGACACATTCTGCCATTGTTCTTCTCACTTCCTGTTGTGACTTCATCTCATTTTCCTCTATAGCAGGGGTCTCAAACCTCCGGCCCTCCAGCTGTGGTGAAACTACAAATCCCATGATGCATCTCTCTCCGGGAGTCATGTCTGTGGCTGTGAGAATCTTGCAATGCCTCATGGGATATATAGTTCCACCACAGCTGGCGGGCCGGCGTTTGGCTACCCGTGCTCTATAGAGCCGGGGATACGAGCAGTTGGCACCCAAACCTTTACCTCCTTGGCATTGGCAGCGTGAAGGTAAAAAGTACAACCGACATCTACATATTATCCCGATGTCCTACAACATTGTTCTAGCGTCACATAAGAACAATCGGCCGCCTGTGCCCTGTAAGGGACCACAGGAGGCGCCGCACAGTTTTGGATAGAGCCGCTTCCTGCGTCACCAGAACCGCCCCGAGTTGGTCAGGGACAAGATTGTGTTGACACAACGCACTGCGGCATGCGGCCAAAGCGACCGTTCAGCTGTGAAGTGTGAAGACGGCGAGCGGAGCCGAGATCTCACCTGAATTCTGCTTCCTAAACAAAACAACACGACTTCTACTTCCCACAAGAGATACAAAAGTTTTGTGTTTACTGAAAACAGAAAAAAGAAACAAAACCGTTGTATCAAATCTGGGGGAAAGAAATCTAAAAAGACACAAAATTTCCTCGTAGTCAGCTGACCCCAAAGACATACGACTACATAGGAAGATATATAGAAAGTATACAAAGTTATACAAATGTATCATTTCAATTCAATTGTTTTTCCATCAGCTTCCAAATATTCAATAAACAAATCGAAGTTTATAAAGAAGAAAATGATACATTTTTAAAGCGCAACTCCAGGCAGACCGGTGTCTGTGAGAATATGGCCCATTTGTGAGGTCAAGTACGGATGTTGGATTAGTAGAACTGGCTCGCCATTGGTGTCCCAATTTAACCCAAAGGTGTTCAGTAGGGTTGAGGTCAGGACTCTTGAGTTCCTTCACACCAGACAGGTCAAACCATGTCTTTATGGAGCTTGCGCCACCCATTCTGGGAAGGCTTCCACAAGATTTTGGGAGGGTGTCTGTGGGAATTTGTGCCCATTTGTGAGGTCAGGTGCTGACGTTGGATGAGAAGACCTGGCACAGTTGGGGTTCCAGTTCAACTCAAACGTGTTCAGTAGGGTTGAGGTCAGGGCTCTGTGCAGGACACTTGTGTTCCTCCAAACCGAACTGGTCACACCGTGTCTCTATGGAGCTGGCTTTGTACACAGGGGACAGTCATGGTGGGACAGAGAAGGGTCTTCACCAAACTGGTCACACCATGTCTATATGGAGCTGGCTTTGTACACAGGGGACAGTCATGGTGGGACAGAGAAGGGTCTTCACCAAACTGGTCACACCATGTCTATATGGAGCTGGCTTTGTACACAGGGGACAGTCATGGTGGGACAGAGAAGGGTCTTCACCAAACTGGTCACACCATGTCTATATGGAGCTGGCTTTGTACACAGGGGACAGTCATGGTGGGACAGAGAAGGGTCTTCACCAAACTGGTCACACCATGTCTATATGGAGCTGGCTTTGTACACAGGGGACAGTCATGGTGGAACACAGAAGGGTCTTCACCAAACTGTTGCCACAAAGTAGGAAGGATACAATTGTCTACCATGTCTGTGGCCAGAAGGTGGTGATGTTGGATGAGAAGATCTGGTTCACAACCAGCATTCCAATTTGTCTCAAAGGTGTTCAGTTGGTTTGAGGTCAAAACTCTATATAGGACACTTGCGTTCCTCCACCCCAAGCTGGTCACCCCATGTCTATATGGAGCTGGCTTTGTACACAGGGGACAGTCATGGTGGAACAGAAAAGGATCTTCACCAAGCTGGTCACACCGTGTCTATATGGAGCTGGCTTTGTACACAGGGGACAGTCATGGTGGAACAGAAAAGGATCTTCACCAAGCTGGTCACACCGTGTCTATATGGAGCTGGCTTTGTACACAGGGGACAGTCATGGTGGAACAGAAAAGGATCTTCACCAAGCTGGTCACACCGTGTCTATATGGAGCTGGCTTTGTACACAGGGGACAGTCATGGTGGAACAGAAAAGGATCTTCACCAAGCTGGTCACACCGTGTCTATATGGAGCTGGCTTTGTACACAGGGGACAGTCATGGTGGAACAGAAAAGGATCTTCACCAAGCTGGTCACACCGTGTCTATATGGAGCTGGCTTTGTACACAGGGGACAGTCATGGTGGAACAGAGAAGGGCCTTCACCAAACTTTCACCACAAGGCTGGAAGATCTCAATGTTCTACAATGTCTTCCTATGTTGTAGTATTACCAGGACCCTTCACTGGAAGAACCTGATCTCCATCATCTGGTGAGGGGTCCACATCCCTTTCCTGTATATCTGGATTTACCAACAATTTATTTTAGCTTCAGCTTTAAATCCGGTCTCAGCACAGAGAACGTTCCACCCTCCGAGCTCTATTCTGCTCTCCCGGCGTTTACTCGCCCTCCACAAAGCCGCCCTTTATATCTCCACAATACACTGGCCTTTCAGTCGGCTGCTGCGAGGGACAAAGACTCATGGGAGGGAGACGGGCAGAACAGGTTCTGAGCGCTGACTCCATCTCCGCACACAATGCAGCCGTTCACTTGTATCTCGGCGAATCTGATGTAGGACACCATGTTAC